GAAGTTACATACCCAGTTCTCTTTCCAGAGACTCAGAGCTATTGGTCTCCCTTAACTATGAACTCCTATAACATCTATATTGCTTTATAACAACAAAAATTACCATTCAGTGTGAACATTTCTGAGGTGTATGGACAAAAATTTTGCAAGAACTTTGACTGAGAATGCAGAAAAGAGGGTTATGAAGGTAGATGTGGACCCATGACATATTCACAGCTGATAAATGTAGAATGTGTTGCAGGCCTCCTTCAACAAACCGTGCATTTAACTCGAGCACATATGCAGAGATATAAATTTTTAGAAAAGGAACCCATAAGCTGCTCAAACTATTTGCAAAAAACTACATTTTGGAAGAGAGAAAGAGAAAGAAATGTTGCTTTTATTTGCAAGTACTCAGAAGACTTCCCATGTGATGACAACTTCAGATTTATAAGCACGTAGACAGTTGGAACTTCTTTGTCCCCAGTGTATGTTTTCTGGCCTTAAGGTATTTTGTTGATCCTTAGTTTTTGTTGTAGGCTATAATATCTCTGTCATTTAAGCTTCACCCTGAAGTATACTGTATCAGAACTACTGGCAGTGTATATGCTGGTGTTCTTTGATTGCTTTCAAAATTTACCCTTAATTATTTTTCCCTAGGTGCACTTTCCCTATAGACACACGTATTGCATCTTGACAATGCTTGTTATTTCAAGCCTGCTTTATATTCCTGACAGCTACTAAAGCTCTATATTTTGAGAAGATATGTCCAGCAATTTGGTCAGAAAAATAATTTGCAGATTTGCACACCAATATTAAGCTTTGTTCATGTAGATTTCTCAGTCCATAAGCAGTTTGAATGGCTGTCCCAGAACAAAGGCGATGCCTTTAATATTAAGGCCTTTGATCTCCTCTGCGTACTAATTATCAGTTTTGGCTTTCACTGTGCTATGCCTTTTGTTCCACTGTTGGATGTTTTCCAGTTTTTTTCATTTAAATTATTTTCCCTGGCATTTAGTATTAATTTTTAGAAATACTTTTTATGTGACTAAGTTAAAGTATTACATTATTGCCATGCTAATTTGTATTCTTACTTTATGCCTGAATATGATACTGTAATATCACTAGCAGCAACTCCTTTCCATTACATCATTGTTATCCTGTTATGCACAACAAATTTTTAAAGGCTCTTGAAGGTGCAGGCTTTTCTGCCAAAAAATGTTATTTTACAATTGCTTTCTTTCTATTTAGTGGTAACTAGTTGAATGGTGGGCATCCTGTTGGAGATTAATATACAAGGAGTGACCACTACCTTCCTCCCCAGAACAAGGTGAAAATAAACCAGAAACAGAAAGCTTTCTTGTAGTTAGCCATTTTCTTACTCCTGATTCTTTTTGCTAAGGAATGTTTCACACTGCAAATTCACACTTAAAAATCTTCAGATTATTTCCATAATGTGGAAGAATTGCTGTAGGTGGAAAGTTTCTGACCCTGCTACCTGTAGCATTTGTGCTGCTTTTACCCAAAGCAATGATTAGATGTTGGCTAAGGAGGGGAGAGTACAGAGGAGGTGTAAGTCTTTCAGGACATCCTTGTGTCAAATAGAGAAGGTGGATTGGCAGGACTAAAATAAGTAATTCATATGAAGAGATGTTTACTTGAATCTAGTGACCGCAGATGCTTGGGGAATAATTTGAAAATGTAAATCTTTGAAAGGCATGTGTATCTGATAACTGCATTTCAGTCCCTGCACCTGGAAGCATTCTAGAGAGGAAGAGGGAAAGCAACCAGAAAGAACTGGCATGTCTGTGCTTTTCAACACAGGTCTGGCCTCCCAGACTTTGACTATGCACAGTCCAAGGAAGGCTCTGAGGAGAGGAGATGAAGAGACAGGTCTACAAGAGGGCAGTTGGAAGATGAGGATCTGAGGGGCTACTGCTTGCCTTTAAAGAAAGGCACAAATTGAGTGGAAGCTTCTCTGTCCTTATTTCAGATGTACAAACTCCTTAGAGCCCTGGCCCTATGTTAGCATTGCTTAGTCTTACACTCACATTGCAACTATTGACCTTTTCTAAACAAAGCCTCAAGACTCAACTGAAGCCGCCTTTTCCTTTCAAGTGTATCACAGTCTTTGGCTTTTCTCTTGCAGTTGAACTTCCTTGGAGGAAGGTCATCTTGAACAACATCTTGTCACTGTTTCATGTTTACCTGCAAACCTGTCGCCTACTGTGTTGACAGCTCACTAGCCTCATTAAACACATTCCAAGATTGATTTTCTTTGCTAGGTGTTTCTTTAGTCCTGTCGGTATCATGTTAAAACAGATCAATTCCACTGTATTGCATAGGGTAAAATAACTAAGGATTAGAAAGCTCCTCTTTGTCAGTATAAGCAGTTTGGTCCTATTTGTTGGCCTTTCCACCTTCAATTGCTGATAGGACTTTAATAGCTGAGGTAGTGTTTCTTCAACATAATTAAGGCAGCTTTAGTTTCTTTCAGAATTTCTGTTTCCTGTCGTCTTTCCAAGCTGCAGGCCCCTTGTCAACCAGAAAAGTCCTATCTCTCTGTGTCTTCCAGCAGTTATATTGTAGTCTCCTTTTGGGATCTTCTCTCAGAGGTTGTGTACTGAAGCGCAAAGATGGGAATGTTTTGGAAATCCTTTCAGTTCAATAAATTTAGCTTTGTAGGTCAAACACTTTCTTAATTTGCACTAAAATGCAGTGAATGTGTTTGGAAGCATACTAGCTGTTTCAATTGTATCCCAGTGTGATGGTCTGCCATAAATTTCAAGGAAGACTTTTCAGCTATGGTAACTTGAATGAGTGATGATGAATTTAAAATATTCCTTTTCTACCCATCAGGAGATAACCTAAGAAGCAAACAGAGGTCCGAAGTGTAGCCTGTCCTTTTTATATAGTTTTTCTTCTTCTTCTTATAGCTTCATGTTCTGTTTCCTACATGCTGATTTTCTTGATTTCGAATTCTGTATTTGAAATATAAATTTGTGATTAACATGGGTCCTTTTAGTGAGTTACTTCCAAACAGTCACAATCCACTTCCACAAATGTTTGTCAGTTGTGATATCCAGACTTGATTTTGGAGATGGAACAGTACCTTTGTGTGTAAATGCCTATACGTGTTACATATTGTACTACTGATGATATTGGTGCTCTCTTACTTACTAGTAGGCAATGTGAGGCAGGTATAACCAAAGCATCTACAATCCTTTACACCCTTAGCAGTTTTCCCTCGAGTAGGACTGTCAAAATAATTGTTTCCCTA